TTATTTTATAGTTAAAATAAATGTTTATCAAATAAAGTCTAATGTTACAACTAATCGGGGATCCCTTTAAAGAAATCCTGCTGGAATGGAAATGATTAGATTTATTGTGTGTTTTTTTTTTTGCTCTGAACCCAGAGCAGTAAAACATCAACACATATTATGCATTTGTTCATTTATTGCGAATCATATCATCGCAGTATTAAGCACTGTTATCGCAGGTTTTCCCAGTATCATGCACCCCTAGTTTGTTTGACCAACTTTATGCTTTAATTCTGCATCTGAAGAAGCTGAACTATTCAGATTTAAAAAGGCTTTTGTCTAAAATCCAGCTGAAAACTTGGCAGCGTCACGAGCATCAGATAACCAATCAAATGTTGCCTCAAGCGTCAACAAACAGTCTTGGAGGTGTGGATGTTTTCACGAGAAAAACATTTTAAAAAAGGCAGAGGATAAATCCGGAGATGCTCTGTCGGTGATTAACAGCTGAAACACGCAGCAGCCGAGTCCAGGCATGTGTGTGAGCGTCGACGGAGATAAAACTGAAACAAGCCACACCCATCATAAAAAACAATCAGGTGTTTCTGCACCTTCAGAGAACAAGACGTTGTCAGAACACATTAATGTTTCACAGGACACACCCTGAACAACCTGATAGTGTCTCTCTCACACACCTGACAGCAGCAAAGGTGACTCAATGAGGGATGATTAAATTCCTCTAATAAATACTCTGTAAAACAGGATCACATTCTGAGAAGTTTCTGGTGCAGCAGAATTTATTTGCTCTGAGGTATAAATTTCTATTTGATTACAGCAGAAATAACAGCAATCAGGCTTCAGTTACTGTTCTCTGCTCCAACATAAATAATCCCCTTTAATTCATAAATAATATTTACTCTAACATGCCCTGGAGGATCTGAGACTGACACGCCTGATTTAGAGTAAATCCAGGATTGCGTTTGAAATTCTTACACTTTTCATAAAGCAAATTCAAGCACTTTTCACTTTAAAATTACTCTTTTTTTTTCAGTAATAAACATAAAACAGCTTTTATACTGGTTATACACTGGATAACAGGGCTGTGTATTGGCAAGAATTTGGCGATACGATACATATCATAACAGAGGGGTCACAATACGATATATCCCGATATATTGCGATACTGTAAGCAAGGAGATATATCGCGATTTTTTTTGTCCAAAAATTCTTTTAAATAAAAACCTCTTACAGGGAAAAAAAAATGAAAAACCAAAATTCATTGTCTCAGAAAATTCTAATATAACATAGACATACTTTTGATTCATTTAGCTGTGTTCTGCTTTGTATGTATTTTATTTTATTT